CTGTATTATGCACTTTATTTTGGGGTCTAATTGAATTTACTTTTCATGCTTGAATGTTTCAAAAACACATTACTTTCCTCAATATTCTCCATTGTTGCGGCTCCGCTCTTCCCAGTCTGTCAGTAACGCTCTGTTTAGTTTCTGTCTCTATGAAGCTCCTCCTTCTGAAAAGCACACTGTGCTCTGATTGGCCGGCTGGATCAGTGTGTTGTGATTGGTCAAGCGCTTCGAGTGTGTTTGGGAAATGTCCCACTCTCACCATAACCAGTTTAACACACTACTAACTAACTCAACCAGGCCCCGCCCCTTTATTCTGCGCATGAATTATTATAATGAGGAATATTGTGACGTGTGAAGAAACTCAAGACTACAATGGAGGCGTTTCAGGAGTTCAGAAACACTGACACTGATATAGCTATAGATATAACTCCCGCTGGAGGGACTTTGAGCTCAAACAGCAACATTACACACTAAAGAGAGTTGAACATGGAAAACAGCAGAATAGGACAGCACTCTCTTCAGGGCAAGCAGCATAACCCATTTTTCTCGAACATCATCTGAGAGTACCACATTTGTCTGCACTCCTCAGTTTAAGCTCTTTATATTGACTGTCTCCATCAGAACACGTCCCTCGTGTGTCTCTCGAATATCCTGCAAAACTCCTCATGTCCTGAGTCACGTGTCATAAATCTGTTCCCTGTCTGACTCAGTACAGCGAGAACTGCATGTGCTTGAAGAGAAGGGGGAAAATAAATACGACTTAAGTATAAATCTTGCTTTTTAACATTTTAACTAAGTTAGGTAATTCAAATTAATAACAAATATTAATTACAAAAAAAAATCTTATTACATTTATGCATTTATCAGATGCCCCTCACTCACTCACTCACTCACTCACTGTCTCACTCACTCACTCACTCACTCACTCACTCACTCACTCACTCACTTTCTCACTGTCTCACTCACTCACTCACTCACTCACTTTCTCACTGTCTCACTCACTAACTCACTCACTCATTAACTGTCTCACTTACTCACTCACTGTCTCACTCACTCACTCACTCACTGTCTCACTCACTCACTGTCTCACTCACTCACTCACTGTCTCACTCACTCACTGTCTCACTCACTCACTGTCTCACTCACTCACTCACTGTCTCACTGTCTCACTCACTCACTGTCTCACTTACTCACTCACTGTCTCACTTACTCCCTCACTCACTGTCTCACTCACTCACTGTCTCACTCACTCACTGTCTCACTCACTCACTCACTGTCTCACTTACTCACTCACTGTCTCACTTACTCACTCACTCACTAACTGTCTCACTTACTCACTCACTCACTGTCTCACTTACTCACTGTCTCACTCACTCACTCACTCACTCACTCATTCACTGTCTCACTCACTCACTAGCTCACTGTCTCACTCACTCACTGTCTCACTCACTCACTCACTCACTGTCTCACTCACTCACTCACTGTCTCACTCACTCACTGTCTCACTCACTCACTCACTGTCTCACTCACTCACTCACTGTCTCACTCACTCACTGTCTCACTCACTAACTGTCTCACTCACTCACTGTCTCACTCACTCACTGTCTCACTCACTCACTCACTGTCTCACTCACTCACTGTCTCACTCGCTCACTGTCTCACTCACTCACTCACTCACTGTCTCACTCACTCACTGTCTCACTTACTCACTCACTGTCTCACTTACTCACTCACTCACTCACTCACTCACTAACTGTCTCACTTACTCACTCACTCACTCACTCACTGTCTCACTTACTCACTCACTCACTCACTCACTAACTGTCTCACTTACTCACTCACTCACTCACTGTCTCACTTACTCACTCACTCACTGTCTCACTCACTCACTGTCTCACTTACTCACTCACTCACTCACTCATTCACTGTCTCACTCATTGTCTCACTCACTGTCTCACTCACTCACTCACTCACTCACTCACTCACTCATTCACTGGCTCACTCACTCACTGTCTCACTCACTCACTGTCTCACTTACTCACTCACTCACTCACTGTCTCACTTACTCACTCACTCACTCACTGTCTCACTCACTCACTCACTGTCTCACTCACTCACTGTCTCACTCACTCACTGTCTCACTCACTCACTCACTGACTCACTCACTCACTGTCTCACTCACTCACTCACTGTCTCACTCACTCACTCACTCACTCACTCACTGTCTCACTCACTGACTCACTGTCTCACTCACTCACTGTCTCACTCACTCACTCATTCACTGTCTCACTCACTGTCTCACTCACTGTCTCACTCACTCACTCACTCACTCATTCACTGTCTCACTCACTGTCTCACTCACTCACTCATTCACTGTCTCACTCACTCACTCACTCACTCACTCACTCACTGTCTCACTCACTCACTCACTCACTCACTGTCTCACTCACTCACTCACTCACTCACTCACTGACTCACTGTCTCACTGTCTCACTCATTCACTATCTCACTCACTCACTCACTCACTCATTCACTGTCTCACTCACTCACTCACTGTCTCACTCACTCACTGTCTCACTTACTCACTCACTCACTGTCTCACTCACTCACTCACTGTCTCACTCACTCACTATCTCACTCACTCACTCACTCACTCACTCACTCACTCACTCACTGACTCACTGTCTCACTGTCTCACTCACTCACTGTCTCACTCACTCACTATCTCACTCACTCACTCACTCACTCACTCACTCACTCACTGACTCACTGTCTCACTGTCTCACTCACTCACTGTCTCACTCACTCACTACTCACTCACTCACTCACTGTCTCACTCTCACTCAAAATAACAGTTGGCTATTTAATATTAAAACATAAATATATAATATAATTAATATATTAGTATTACTTAAATACATAAAATATTAACTTGAAGTCATTCTGCCGCCTGCTTGAGAGCAGTGTCTTCGACTGTTTGGCTTAGAGGGAACATGGGATTGAGTTTCTAGAAGCTCATACGGTTTCTTTCCTCTTGTTCTGCTAAGAGCACATGTTGTTCCCAGGGAACTAAACTCACATCAGACAGAATCGGGTCAAATACTGCAAATGTTAGAAAGGGTCTTTAGTGGCAGGGCACGCAGCCTTGATATCACAAACCATTGACATATCAATCAATCTATAGAAGCACAACCCAGCCGGCATTTTAACGTCAAGTCACTGTTGAACCAACCGTTGTTGTGCCAGTGTTGGAGAACCGTTGAATTTTGAGGTTGTAGCCTATAAATAACGCCGATTTGACGTACAACTCAAAAATTGTTGATTTTTCAATGTTGAATCCATAGCGAGTTAACACCACCACTTCAACTATTTGGTGTTCAATGTTGTTTTTCATGTTTTTACATAAACTGACATCATTTTAACAACATTTAATGTCAATGGATCTTCATTCAAAACGTCAGAAACCATTCCTACATTTTTACTGAGGAAAGCCCTGAAATTAAGATCATTTAACTACTTTGAATGGTTACGGCAGGAAAAAAAAAGCACTGAATAACCTGCAATGATGCCAACTTAGGATCAACATACACTGTTAAAGGGATACTCCACTTTTTTTTGGGAAATAAGCTCATTTTACAACTCCCCCAGAGTTTAACAGTTGAGTTTTACCGTTTTCGAATCCATTCAGCCGATTTAGAAAAATATTGTTTACCATTTTTTAATGTATTTGGCCGATTTTTTTGATATTTAGAAAAATATCAGAAACCAGACAGTTTCTGGTTACTAGGGCTGGGTAATAAATATCAATTTCTCGATATTAATCGATTCTCATTTTTACGAACCGATATCGATTCTTAAATCTCAAGACAATTTTCTTTAGAAATTCAAAATCATAAATAGTGTTTTGGCGCTGTGGCGTGAGATCGCTCTGGAGAAGCAGCAGCGCTGATCTCTCTTCCGGGTTAATAATACCAGTCACAGCGCCAAATAAACATGAATGAGCATCTGAAAGTGTGTTAAAGATAGAGTACAACTTATCGAAATCCGTATCATGTCACATTGATTCGCTCAATCAGCGTTTTAACCGTGGAAAGACGTCAGTTAAACAGCTTGTAATCAATGTCATCGTCATATTTACCTCAGAAAACCCACATAAACTCGTTAGTCAGCTTGAAAAAATAACTCTAGAGAGGAGCATTTTGCTAAATATATACGCCATATTACATATGCATTATAATCTTAATGTTCTTCAATATTTAATGCATATTTGAATAAATCTGGCAAGTTTTTATGACAGCCACCATTTAAATGTTTATATTTCATATATAATCTTCTTATTATAAAAAAAATAAAAGTGTAATTTAAGTGTTTGTATAGCTACAAAACAGTTCATTATTACCTTCATATTAGGCTAATGAAGCCTATAGGCTACAACTAGACTCCCATAGTTTACAGCATTAGTGAAGAGATTTGATTTCCTTGAGAAAAATGGCCATTTATTGTAACTGATATCCAAAATAATCGATATTGAATCGAATCGTAATCAAAATCGAATTGCAAGCTTGTGAATCGAAATCAAATCGAATTGTGAAATTTGTCTCAATACCCAGCCCTACTGGTTACTGATATTCTTCTAAATATCAGAAAATCAGCTGAATGGATTCGAAAACGGTAAAACCCAACTGTTTAACTCTGGGGGAGTGGTAAAATGAGCTTATTTCCAAAAAACAAAAAAACAAAAAAAAAACTATTTCCTTATATTGCAATCTATGAGAACAAGTTGTAATTGCTGCCATTGTGTAACATTCATTGTGTCCGCTTAACTGAATACATTGCAACCGTATATTACTATTAGTATTATTACTGACACACTCACAGAATACTTCCAAATATTTCCTAATTGTAATCTTTACGTTGTTCCCAATTCCATTTTTTTGGGACAAAGTTTTAACGATGAGAAAATAAAAGAAACGGTAATTTTTAGCTGAACTATAATTTACCGTAGAGACTGGGCCATGCGTCGCAGGTCTTCGTTCTGCTGTTTCAGTCTCTCCAGCTTGGTGAGGATCTTGGCCAGCTCACGGCTGGAGCGCGGCGCATGTTCGTTGTCTTTCACCAGATGACCCCCGATATAAAAGAGCAACGTCCCCCATGCCAGCAGGACCAGCGCTATCCAGCGCCATGAGCCCGTCCATGGACGCATGCTCTCGCCAAACTCCAGTCACAAATCACAGACCGGCATGCTGGGTCTGCCCATTGAAGTGGAGGTTAAAAGCGAGGCGTCCAAATGTGGAACAACTGGTGCGTCTACGTAGGCACGTCAACACACCGTGGATATTCATACATCGCGACTCGTCAAGAAGCCAGATCTTCCATTCTGGTCCTATAGATGAGGATTGGGCTTTACTGGCGTTTCACTGGTTTTGTTGGGTTCTCTGAATGCATTATTGTCCTGCAGAGAGAAAGAGAGAGAGATGTCACTTTGTCGACGGCAGAGAAAAACAAATAAAAGAGTCACCATCTAATCGTGGATCATTAAACAACAAAAATAGACTTGTCAACTTTTAAAAGAAAGAAGAAAATGCTTCCCATATCTTCTGTTGTTGACATTAAAGGATTAGTTCACTTTTAAAAAAACTTTTGCTGATAATTTACTCACCCCCATGTCATCCAAGATGTCCACGTCTTTCTTTCTTCAGTCGAAAAGAAATTAAGGTTTTTGATGAAAACATTCCAGGATTTTTCTCCATATAATGGACTTCAATGGGAACCAAACGGTTCAACGTCCAAAAGAAACTTCAGTACAAACTGCAAACTTGTTCAAAGGCCTTTTAAACGATTCCAGATGATGAATCAA